GAAAGAGTGATTAACTTTGTCCAGTGGAACAGTTGGGGTGTTAGGATTAAGGACCAGTTGGGGTGATTCTAAGAGATAACTGGAGAAGAGAGATTAAGCACTTGAGTATATTTATTTTGTTATTCTTCATTTAAAAAAATTAGCCAAAAATAGTATTGGGAATATCGCCACTTCTCATTAATCTTACTTCTAAAAAATATATATTTTGGGGGTGATGTAAATGTTCTGGAATTAGAAGTATGGCTGCATAAACAACTTTGTGAATATACTAAAAACCACTGATGCGTGTACCTTAAAGAGTGAATTACATCTCAATAAAGTATAAATGTATGTGTGTGTATGTGTGTGTCTTATGTATGTATGTTCGTATGTGTTTATATATATATATAAACACACACACACACACACACACACACATATATATAAGTTTGCCAGAGCAGCCATAACAAAGTACTACAGCCTAGGTGGCTTAAACAATAGAAATTTACTTCTCGCAGTTCTGGAGTCTGGAAGTTCAGGGTCAAGGTGTCAGCAGGGTTAGTTTCCCCTGAGGTCTATCTCCTTGGCTTGCAGACAGCCACCTTCTTGCTGAGTCTTCACATGGTCATTTCTCTCTGTCCACACATCCCTGGTATCTCTCTGTGACCTAATCTCCTCTCCCTATGAGGACGCTAGTCAGGTTGGATTAGGGCCCACCCTAATGTCCTCATTTAAAGACCTTATTTTGAAATACAGTGAGCCTATAAAAATATATATATGAGAAATCAGCACTCGGAGGGGATATGACTGATGGATTGATTTCCACTTAAACCTGAATTCCATGTCCTTTTAAACAGCCTCCGGACAGCAACTGCCAGTTGATGAGAGTTGGCACAGAATCAAATCAAACTTTCTAAATCTTTGATCAAAAAACATTCTTAACCCAGATTCTTGAACAAACATGTATCCAAACTTTTCATATTCTTTTGTGCATTCTTCTGGAAATAGGGTTCCTTGCTTTCATCAAATTCTCCAAAGTTAAAAAAAAAAAAAAAAAAA